TATTACTAGCCCTAAAATTGTATTAATTTGTAGAGGACTGCAGGTAGGCAGTGGAGGTGCAGTAAAATCATGTCCAGAGTACCTGTGTCCAGATCTTCGGATCCACTTTGGATGCTCTAAAGCTCTGCCTGAGATGGGATAAGCGGAGTGACAAAGTGGTCCTCCGCAGATCTTTGCAATGCTTGCACTGCAGAGATGTTTGAACTGCTTGCTTACCAGCCGCTTTCCAGCTCACAATTGGTATCTGATTTTAGTTTCCCTTAAAATGTCCCCCTGTAAACTATAGGAGCTGGGGAACTGATTTAAGAGCAGAGAGGATTTAGGAAGTCAGAGGGAGCAAACTCAAAAGCTACTTTAAATGAAGCCATCGTAGCTTGTCAGTCACAACCCTCTCTGTTCCTGAGATATCATCTCGATCCCTCTCTTACTTCAAATCCAGAAGGCCTGTCGCATAGTGGCTTCTCAGGATGAGGGATAAAGATCTAGTTATTTTTGAAAAGACCCGTGCATGCAAAAACTTGCTGACGGTAATGGGTTCATAATATAGGGCAGATTTGAATCATGTCCTTGGTCTCTCAACAAAGATAGACATATTTACTTAAAGCAGCTGCAAATTCTTAATTCTTGGCGATTAAAATAAAATGAACTAGTTTTGGGCCCAGCATCAAACCTGTAAAGTGTTTGGTATGGTCGTAATTTGGAATTAGCTTTCACTTGGCCAACAATAAATTAGGCTGTTGATAAAAACATTTGGTGTCCCACGTGAAGTTCAATGCTATATTATTTCCTGTTTTGGAGGGGGATAATCATAACGGATTATTACACAAATGTATCAAGCAGAAAGCATTTAGAGCTAAACAAGCATCTGCCTTCATACACAAAGATATGGACCCTTAGGATAAGGAAGTTAATGGTAAACATAAACAGGAGAGTTAATATTTGTTCTACTAGATGTTGTTGATTGGTTTAACAAATCCTTTGTGGCCCGTCTATGTTGAGCAGTTCTGAACAATGCACTTGAGCTGAATTACATAACGCAATCACAATTGGTAAATTGTGGCTCAGACTGTAAAGTCCTATCCAGTAATCCTGCTGTATTTCTAAAGCAAATTGCTCCTTAATTGAAACCTGCTTCAATATAAAAATACAGCCTTTTCAATGAGTCATCCTTTTTTTTTACCCTTACACTTTGTAAAGGCTTCCAGCAGTTTAAAGCGAGGGTTAATTTTGCATTAAGACCATTGCCTCCTAGTTTCTTTCATATAAAGCCAGGGGAAGTTCAGGGGAAGGCTCTTTCCTCTGATAATGAAGCTCTCCATGTTAATGATGCGTGCAGGCTCCCTTGGATCCTCTGAATTAGAAATACTCGTGTGTGCCAGCGCTACTCTGCTTCATTAACATTAAGGAGAGGTAGATTGGTGGCTATTTAGGGCACAGTGAAATCACTGGCTATTTAGGGCAAATGGAAATGGTGCTAACTGTGGCTGGTAATTCCATTAGTAGGGTACTTCCATTTTGGTGTTTGTTTGGCATATAGGTGAAAAAAAAACAAGCACACTGACATCCTTTCCAGGGGATGTAGTCTCAGGCTCATTGTTGCCTTGTATCAATTAACTTCTACACTGAGCTGCAAAGGTTTTCAGGATTCCCAAATTTTTGTTTTGGTGTGCTGGCACTCTGTCAGGAGGAGTAGAGTAGGTGTTTGTGGGTGGCAACACCTTAAGCAAGGTGTGTAAGAGAACATAACATTTCAAGTCAAGGAAATATAGATAGAATATAGAATCACAGAATGATTTGGGTTGGAAGGGACCTCAAAGATCATCCAGTTCCAACCCCGCTGCCATGGGCAGGGACACCTTCCACTACACCAGGTTGCTCAAAGCCTCATCCAGCCTGGCCTTGAACACTTCCAGGGATGGGACAGCCACAACTTCTCCAGGCAACCTGTTCCAGTGCCTCACCACCCTCAGAGGAAAGAATTTCTTCCTTATATCTAATCTAAATCTTCCCTCTTTCAGTTTAAATCCATTGCCCCTTGTCCTATCACTACATGCCCTTGTAAAAAGTCCCTCTCCAGCTTTCTTGTAGGTCTCTTTTAAGCACTGGAAGACTGCTAGGAGGTCTCTCCAGAGCCTTCTCTTCTTTAGGCTGAGCAACCCCAACTCTCTCAGCCTGTCTTCAGAGGAGAGAAGTCCCTGAGAAAAGTGATTCATGCTGTCTCATCAGACTTCTCCAAGGATGAAGAGTGAAATGAATAAAGAGGAAAAACACATGGATTTACATTGCACAGAGGATGGGTCTGAGTCTCTGTCACTTTCTGTGGTGTTGTGCACCTTATGACTCAATAAGGCAATTTCTGATGTGCAGGAGAGTTTAATGTTGCACGACATGTGGTGTGCTTCTGCTGCTAGAAGTATTTTCCTGAATACCTGTGCAGGTGCTGATAGCTGTGGCAATAATGTGCTTGTTGTCATTTACTTGCTTAATTAGCAGCCTAATATCCTGGTCCAGTTAATGCCTATAAGAGGAGGTTTATTAGTGGTACGAAAGCTATTTAAGCCTTATAAACTCCTTCCAATCAGTTTCATTGGTCTGCCGATATCTTCTGGTTGAGTGATTCCTTGCTGATTCACACTTCTGTTTGCCATTGCTGTTTCTCAGCTGAATGTTTCTGGGCAACCAGAAAGTCCTTTGCCAAAGTGACAGCCACTAGAATAACAAAAAATAACCCAAACAGAACTGGTTTTAAAAAAGAAAAAAAAATTCAGGCAACGTTCCTCCAAGTTGACTGCTATTGTAATTATCTGTTGTCTCCAAAGCAGCAAGGGGAAAAACAAACAAAAATTGCAAATAAACCCAGGCAAATTACAGGATGACATGAGCTCTAGCACTGTCTGTCCTGGGTAAACCATACTGAGTCTAGAAGGTATTCTGAGATTTCTAGTTTTGGGATAATACTCCAATATTTAGCAATACCATTTTAGATATGCTTAAAAGAGGGAATTTTTTTAAGCTTAGTATCAGCTAAAATGCCAAAACTGACTAAGTGAACTATAAGTGAAATTGCCAACCTGCCTTGACCTTGCAACAGTACTTGATTCGTATATAAATCTGCTGCATTCATCTTTATGGCAGAATCATGGCCCCAGGGTACTTTAGCAAGCCAGCAAGGACTCTTCTCAACTGGGAATTAGATCTGCAGTCCTGGGACGTGTATCCCTAGCAATTCCCCATGTATAATGTGAAGAACGCAAGAAGTGGGGAAAAAACTTATGAGTTGCAGTTGTGCAGCTGCAACCCCTAATTTTCTTATAAGCATGACTAGTGCTGGCAGGGCCAGGGATGGGAAATGCTGCTGTTGATGGGGTAAGACTATTGCTAGAATTTTGGATACTTCCATCAGAGATCCTCCTGTATCTTTAGTTTCATAGACAACCCTGTGCCAATCCCTTTGTAAGTCAACTAGGATCATGCTCACAGTGGGGAATGATTTCTGCCAGTTGCTACAGAGAGGAGTGTCGCAATGAGATGCATCAAATTCTCAGACAAGCTTAGGCAGCAGTCTGTGCGTGTGTGTGCAGGAAGGGGACAGGAAGGAGATTCTTTGGCTAGGGTATATTCTTCCTGAGTTTCGATATGAAAAAGCAATTTCTAACGTGGAGGTCTTGTCACTCAGATTCATTCAGCTCATGGAGAAACATCAGCTCCAAGAACATTTTAGCTCAGCTCACATCTGACATCACGTGGAAGAG